CGTAACTGTAGCCTAGGAAGCCAGCTGGGGAGGCGGCATATGGGTACTGCTGCTCAAAGGCTGCCTGAGCATACTGGGTGTAGGCTGTGCTGTAGTCCAGATAGGGGCTGGTGCTGACAGAAGTGGAAACCTGAGTGGGCAGCACCAGGCTGGGCTGCACAAAGGCTTGTGGGTAGACGTACGGCTGGGCCAACCTGCACACAGAAACAAAGACCAAAACAGGGAGGGGGGTCAGACAGAAGGGCTGCAGCAGCAGAGCAGAGAAACCCCAAGGCCTGGTTTCTACCTTCTACACTACACCCTGAGGGTGAACATGCTGGGAATATAAACTCTGTAGGGCGCTCAGAACTGAGAGAGTATCCACTGTTATTAAAGACTAAATATATGGGAGGCAGAGGAGGTTAAGGAGGAGAACGTGATTCAACCCTCTGTGTCAGTTAATAAAAGCTACAGAACCTGTTAGGTAGGGCCTCCTGAGGTAAACTGGAGGGGAGGAGTGGTGGGTGTAATAGAGTCAGCCGTTACTGGCAGGTTTTCAAGCTCAGGCATCAGCAGAGTGTTTTAACAGCTGCTGCTCTTCACTTGCTGAACACACACACAGACAATAAAAGGGGAAGCACATGAAGGCACTACAGAAGTTGCCATCTCCTATAGTTCTCACTGTGTGTGTAAATCACCACATAGACATCACAGGTGATGATGCTAGTTGGGGGAGGTGACGGCGACGAGGGAGCTCATCAGGACTGGGCGCCAGGCTCTGCCGGGCCTCATGGGCCGGCACTCAGATGTAGCTGATTAGAGCTGTGGGGTCTGGGGATTGTGTTGAGTCTCCTCCTCTTTCTGTCTTTGCCACTTTATCCACAAGGAAATGGAAGGGGAGAAGGCTTGACAGAAGTCTATTTTTACTCAGAACTTCAAGTATCTCTCTTGGGTTTGTTGTCTAGAGGGTGGGATGGTGGTGGCAGAGAGGATGAGCGCCCCCCTCTTTCACAGAAAGGCTGATGTAACCGACTTTACCCTTGATACTACGCTTCTGGGTGACAACATCCACACACACACACACACACACACCCTGAGACAAAGACAGGATAGTCACAACAAATGCCACATTGACTTATGCTCTTGAGCTGCAGCTCAGTGCTGATACAAATCACCCTTTCATGGACTGTATTTAAATTTTAGTCTTAGTTTTCTCCTCAGAGGTTCAGTCCAGTAAAGAAGTTGATCAGTAATGAGTGGCAGTCATGAAGTCAACACGGCAAAAGATGGAAGCATGCGTGGATAGGAATGTCATTACACTCTCTCTCTCTCTCTCTCACACACACACACACACACACACACACACACACACCTCTCCAGTCCTCCGGTCCCTCTTCCTCTTTTCCAGCCACACATGCTTCCATCTTTTGCTATCACTTTGGTTACCACTGCAAAC